AACAAGACTCTTTAATTATAGGTGGTTCTTTGCTAAAGTTCCGTTCATTTGGCTGAATTTGTCGAATCCATTTCTCTTGAGAACTCAAAGTTTTAGTATACCTCCAAGTCAAATTTATTTTACGGATTGAAACAGTTAATTGAATTAACCCGTAAAACTCTTAGAGGCACAGCTACAGTGACTTTGGTCATTAGTCCAGTGAAACTTTCAAAATATAAAACACCGATAACGGGTCTACTCAAATGATCCAGGGTGTTGGTCATTAGTCCGGAAAAACTTTCAAAATATACGGACCTTCAAATGATCTAGGGTACATAGTTCCGTGTTGATTAGTTTCAATTGAGCATTAACGAGGCCACGCATCGGCGATCTAGAAGCCGTGTTTCGATGCGTCCTAACGGCAACAACACTGCCCGACTATATCTGAATTTTAGTTGCGATAGCAACAAGTTACAATTCGACGTAGCTCTCAAATAAGCTACAAGTTCAATTCAAATCGGAAATATAAAAAGACTCTCAATATATGAACCTTATCTCCGAAGGTATCTATTTAATGAATTAATGGAAGTATTATTATATTTGAAGGCTTATTATACGACTCTATCAATTGTGTTCAAGTAACCATAAATTGAGACTGATTAAAAGCTCTAAAATCTAAAATATAAAATATAAATAAACCACAACGGCAGTAGCCAAAACTTCCGCAAAAGAAACCTTAAAAATTTTCTGACCTATTTAGAAATAAAAGATATTATAAATTTATCCAAAACTTCTTGCAGGTTCAGAGATACTTGTAAGTCCTGAGGCTCACAAAGCAATACAAAGTGACAGACCAATACGAAGTGAAAAAGAAAGAGAAAGTAATGTGCCAGATAATGACATAGTCCTAGATTGGGGAGCAAAGCAAGAGTATGAGGTAAAAACGTTCTACTTCCATTATTTATATAAATGTTAAGTGATCACAATTGAAATTTACTTTATTTAGTCTTGGTTGGCGAGGGGGAAATTTGAAGATAAATTGGGCAGTGTTGTTGATTAAGTTTGATCTGATATCATATGTATTATTGATTTCAGCAGAGCGGTCAAGTGTACGAAGCCTATTGTTTGCATGTTAAAAAACCATCAAAATCCTTACAAAAGGTTACAGCTTCCTTACAAAAGGTTACAGCTTCCCCCAGCTACTCCAAGAAGGAAGAAGCTTTTGGTTCCAGTCACAGGGCTGCCCCCAGCTACTCCAAGGAGCAAGAAGCTTCTGCCCCCAGTCACAGGGCTGCCCCCAGCTACTCCAAGGAGCAAGAAGCTTTTGGCCCCAGTCACAGGGCTGCCCCCAGCTACTCCAAGGAGCAAGAAGCTTCTGCCCCCAGTCACAGGGCTGCCCCCAGCTACTCCAAGGAGCAAGAAGCTTTTGGCCCCAGTCACAGTGCTGCCCCCAGCTACTCCAAGGAGCAAGAAGCTTTTGGCCCCAGTCACAGTGCTGCCCCCAGCCACTCCAAGGAGCAAGAAGCTTCTGCCCCTAGTGACAGTGCTGCCCCCAGCTGCCCTGATGAGCAAGAAGCTTCTGCTCCCAGTGACAGTGCTGCCCCCAGCTGCCCCGATAAGCAAGAAAAATGATAAAGAAAAGACAGCGTCAAAGTGGAATGAAAACGAAAACAATGTCAACTGTCAAGACAGTAAAAACTCTTACCCATGTCTAAAACAACACCCAATTGATTTAAACTATGTCATAGTCAATCATTGTACTTTATCTCAATTTATCTAATGTCTCACTGCACCAGTCACAATATGTCACAACTCACCGCACTCGCGTGATATACGTGGTCAGATTGAAACGCAGTTATAAGATATGAACTGCAATAATCATCTTACGTCACCTCTTAGTAGTATTTGAGCTCGTTAGTGATTGTAGTTATAGATTTAGATTTTTGGGCTGTTAATTTAAATATAATTTTATTAAATATTTAGAGTTTATTAATTATAAGTCGAAAATGTATGGTATGTTCATTGTTCATGATGTTTATCTTTATATATTGGCTTAAACTAACCTTACATTATCATATTGAAACTTTTCACTGCGTAGTTTTATTCATCTCAAATAATTAAGATTGATTTCTGACGCGTATTTAGTATTCACCATAGACTTATCAAGTTTCTCCCAGATCTTTATATCCTATGCTATCCTAAGTCCTAACTTCATCAATAAAATAAACTAACTGATAACTTGGTATTAGAACACAATGTCACTGTGGAAGTTATTTGAAGGTATCCGGTACTGCGGAGGGGTGTGTGAACACAGTCTCAGAAGATATAAAAGAATAAGAGATAACAGAGATAAACTAGTTGAACTCGGTTTTATGACACTAGATGAACCTCTGGAATGTTACCGGACTAAAGAATGGGAGGAACATACCTCAGCCTACTCAGAGTGTGCGTTTCATCTTCATTTATAATTATAGTTTGGTTTTTATGGATTTTAATGTAAATGAAGTTTCCTTTTCTCATAGTGACAGTGTTCGTTAGAGACAGTTCAAATATGAACCGTATTTTTTGACTCTAATGAAATTTAGAAAATAAATTTCTTATAATATTGGTTTTCTTATTCAACATATCTACTTCTTTACAGATGAGACGTTGCTGAAGCAGCAGGAAGAAGGTCTTATAAAGCTCGAGGTTGAAGTTAAAACGGACCCCAGGAATCCTTCTGAGAGATACTCAGACAGTGACAAAGATAGTCCAGTAGTTAATAAGCAGAGGAAATCACCCAAGAAAAAGAATAAGTCTCAAAAGAGCAGAAATAAGATAAGAGGAAGTCAGAAACATAATATCAAAGTAGAACAGGTGGATTGTGTGGAATGTGTAGAAGTAAGACAAGTTACTCAGCTTGTAAACGAAGAAGCTGAAGCTCCAGAAGTGGAGGAACTGGAGATGTTTCTACACTCAGAACCGGAGTCTATACCAGCACTACAAGATCTACTTGTTAACAAGAATCTAACCTCTCATCTCAGAGATGGTCCTGTAGATGTGTGTAAACTGATCGCAGAAAACCCAGAGTATACACATGAAATATGTGAGGCTAACATAGACTCTCTTTAAATGTCTGATGAGGAGTTTTATAAAATTACCTGCGAAACTTATCCTGGGGGCTGGGAAAAGTTCCTGGAGGACATGTTAGTAATTATTTGCTTACCTTATTATATAATTAAATAATTTTGGTTGCGCTATAGATTACGTGTGTTGCTTCCTCGCAAAAACCTTAATCAAAGTTCTGACTCCTGATTAAGTTTGTTACTTCTACTTAGTAAATAGTAATGCTATGAATTGTCTAATAGTAACTACTATTCAGGGAGAACTCAGAGTACTCAGAATCCTCAGATGATGAGAGAATTGAGCTGCCCCCTGATCTCTACAAAGATCTCATGTCAGACAAGGATAAGGAAGATGTGTCTGAAGACGAGGAGGAGCAGTATCAGTATGGTAGAATTATCAAGGATCCGACTGATGGTTGTCTCCATCGAGCACTAGACTTGTATGACGACTATGATAGCATGACCCAGGAGGAGTAAGTTTTATCTCTTTCCTGTTCTGCTCTCAAAATTAATGACCACATAAAATGTTTCTGCATTTTGAATAATGGCATAGTGCTAGTGAATTGTACATATAATTGCTAACAATTTAATTGTCCATCTTCCAGGTATAATAAAAAGGTGAAGGAGGTGCTCAAAGATATGGACAGAATCACTGTGCTAGATGATGAGGACACCGAAGTTAAAGGGAGAACTAACTATAGTACCATACCACGTTCCGATGGAAGAATAGTGACATCCCACCTTGATGCCAACCAGCCATCCTGTAGCGATATTGAACTTAGTGATAGGGAAACTCCCAGTACGAGTAACAGTTCTCATAGAAATAGTGAAACCAACAAATCAGATGATGTTAGAACTGGTGACAGACCAGGTGGTAGAAACTTGATTGGGTCTGATATCAGTTCCAGCTCTGTTACACAAACAAAGAAACTCCCCACTATCCTTAGTAACAGAGAAGTGTACGAGAATATTGACAATATTCCTCGTCCTTCCTATTGGTTACCTGAGACAGCACCTGACTCTGAGAAGAAAGAGGAAGAGATAGATGATTTCGAATATCTAGGAATGTTGGATGATGGATATCTGCTGAGTCTGTTTGACGAGGATAAAGAAGATAATGCTGAACTAGTGTGCTCGGAGAAAATAACAGAAACACAAGCACTGGCCTCTGTTTCTCAAACAGATAATACTAGTGGAACAGATAAAATCACTAGAGATGAAGATCTCACCACACCAGTTCCCCAACTCCAAGTAGCTGCAGGAGAAGTGTCTAAAAATAGACGCAGTAACCCTCCTAGACTTGCTAAAGAGGGGGTCATATATCGTGATGATATCGAAGATCTGGAGGAGGTCTTACAGTCTGAATATTGTAAGTTACTGCGGATATGACAGTCAACTTTTTTTCATTGCCAAATTCGATCTTACTGGTTGTAAAGAATATCAGTCATTTCACATCGAACTGCGCTATGGTGTGCAAATAACTTTTAAATCCGCATCAAAATGCCAAATTAGGGAATTAGAGTATCCTGCGTGGCAGTAAATGATGCTAAACTGCCCCTAAACTATGGATGGTGTTTGCCCCATTGGCCCACAATGTTTGTTGAATGTATCTTATCATAATTATTAAAGAATCTTTATATAAATATCCGCAGTTTGCTGGCAGTGTAAAGATTATGTGAGAGGAGAATGTGGACTACATGGTCCTCTACTCCCTTGTTTAGAAGATATCACCCAACCTGGAACTAAGAAAACAGCTAACTTCCCAGTACCAAGTTGTATTGAAATAAAAGAATCTACAATTCCTAGAGCTGGAAATGGAGTATTTGCGACTTTGTTTATTGAACCAGGAAGTATATTGGGTTAGTTATTTGTTTTATTGAGAATTACTATCATTCTTTTTGCCACCATTTTGTAGGGGGCACCTGTTTAATCCAACCTTTTATTCACAATTTTTGAAGGTGTTGATTTAAGATCTTGTGTTCACTCATTCAAGAACAAAATAAAACAACATCTGATATTCACATTATCATTTATCAGGTAACTACAAAGGAAAGGTAGTATCTGAGAAAGAGTACAAGAAGTTAGAGTCTGCAGATAAAGAGAGTGGGTATTCGTGGCGGGCTGTGAGTCAGGACGGAGATGTAATCTACCTGGACGGGGCGAGTCACAGGGCTAGCAACTGGTTACGGTTTGTTAACTGTGCTCGGGGTCAATGTGAGGAGAACGTCCTAGTTAGAAATATCCCAGGTATGATATGGTGCACTTATTCTTCAGTATGGGGCATAATTGGGGGCCTGGATCATTGTTCAGTGTTCATTGTTAGCATTCCTGAAATAAAGATAATAATCTACTAGGTGGAATACAGTATTATTCGTATAAGCCTATTGGGTTGGGGGAGGAATTACTAGTATTCTACGGAGAGGACTATTTCGAAGAATTAGGATATTCTTTGCAAACTGATCTTGACACTGGTAAGATTAACTTCTTATTATTATTTAGTGGTCGAAACTTTTCCCAGAATTAATCATCACGAGTTTTCTACAAATGTTAAATTTAATTATTCAATCTTGGGAATTTGGCTGCAAGGAGAGTATGGTAATTACATCTCACTATTAGTATTAAGTAACTACCTTTCAAAATAGGACAAGAATATCATTGTACTGCAACTGGTTGTCTGAAGCTGTTTAAGACGCAGCAAGAGCTGGAGAGACACACTTGTTGGAGAACTCGAGGAGTATCAAGCAGAGAAAAAGTACACAAGTGTGAAAGGTGTGGGAAGATGTTTGCTGAGAGGGGTACCTTAACTAAACACATTAGGACAGTACACGATAAGGTAGCGAGACACAGCTGTCCTTACTGTAAATATAGGACTGATCGCCAATACGATCTCGCGAAACACATGTTAACACACACGGGAGACAAGCAGTACAAGTGTACACACTGTGACTACGCTGCTATTGAGAAGAAGAAGCTCACTACTCACATCTACCAACACCACACTAACAAGACGTACAAGTGTCAGTACAAGCATTGTGGTGTAAGGATGGCCTCCCAACAGGAGCTGCATGATCATATCAGAACAGAACATCCAGTACTAAAACACAGATGTGATATTTGTCCTATGTCATTTAACAGTGCAACGACTCTACTACGACACAAGCAAACACATAGCACAGAGCTGGATTCAAGGTTTGAGTGCAAGTACTGTGGTAAAAGGTTTGCACAGCAAAATCACCTTAAAAATCATTCTGTTACTCACACTGGTGAGCGGTCACACAAGTGTAGTGTGTGTGGTAAGAGGTTTACTCGGAAAGGTAGTTTAACAACCCACATGAGGATACATACGGGAGAGAAACCCTTCTCATGTTCATACTGTGATAAAAGTTTCAGTCTTAATAATAACAAAACCAACCATGAAATTACATGCAAAAGCAAGATTGGTTAAAACTTGATTATTTTGAGGTAAATAATCATAAGATTATGTTTGTCATTGTTATTGTTAATCAATTCTTTTAGAATTGACGAACTCACTTTTAATGATTAGAGTTTATTGCGTGTTGCTTGTTCGATAACATTTTTCTGCTGATTTATTTTTCTAGCAACCTGCAGCCATGAATTAACAAAATTTCATTAATTAGCTAATATCAATAAAAACAAATTTTCGGTTCAATTTTTAATGTCACCAGAATGACAGAGTTACCCAGGCCATCTTGGATATAAATAAAGTTAGACAGTAATATTATGTTAAGAAAAATTATGTTAAGAAAAGAAATACCAATAAAACTTCACAATTATTACACGTCTTGTGTTTGATACACTAATTTTAATTTCGCATGTTTATCATAAATCAATGAGTCTACTCGATGATATCTTATCCTAACTTCATCAATAAAATAAACTAACTAATAACTTGGTATTAGAACACAATGTCACTGTGGAAGTTATTTGAAGGTATCCGGTACTGCGGAGGGGTGTGTGAACACAGTCTCAGAAGATATAAAAGAATAAGAGATAACAGAGATAAACTAGTTGAACTCGGTTTTATGACACTAGTGACTAGATGAACCTCTGGAATGTTACCGGACTAAAGAATGGGAGGAACATACCTCAGCCTTCTCAGAGTGTGGGTTTCATTATTTATAATTATAGTTTGGTTTTCATGGATTTTAATGTAGATGAAGTTTGCATTTCCTTTTCTCAATGTTCGGTAGAGACAGTTCAAATATAAACCGTCCATTTTACTCTGATGAAATTTAGAAAATAAATTCCTTATTATATTGGTTTTCTTATTCAACATATCTACTTTTTCACAGATGAGACTTTGCTGAAGCAGCATGAAGAAGGTCTTATAAAGCTCGAGGATGAAGTTAAAACAGGGGAATTTTCTTGGGGGTAAAATACTTCCCCGGGGGCATTGGGGCCCCAAAATTTGGTTTTCCCGTAGTTTTAAAAAGGGGAAAAGGAAAAACACCCAAAAAAAAGGAAAAAAGTTCCAAAAAAAAAGCCAAAAAATAAGATCAGGGGGGGAAAATCAAAAAAACCCCCAAAATCAAAAATAGAACAAGGGGGGGGATTTTTTTGTGGGAATGTTTTAGAATTAAGGAAAAAGGGTTTCTCAGCTTTTTAAACGGGAAAAAACTGAAAAACTCCGGGAAGTGGGGAGGAAAAATTTTAGATTTCCTACACTTTCCCGGGGGGGGCCCCGGGGGGGGTTTTTTTAAAACCAAACACTACCAAAGGAATTTTACTTGGGGGAACCCGGGGAATTTTAAAACCTTTTTCATCTCCGGGAGGGGCCTGTTTTGATTTGTGGGAAAAAAAGATTGGGGAGGAAAAACCCCGGGGGGTTACACCTTTTTAAAAAATTTTTGAGGGGTAACATAGACCTTTTTTTTTTTGTTGGGGGTTTAGGAGTTTTTTTTAAAATTTAAAACCTTTCGGGGGGAAAATTATTTTCCCGGGGGGGGGGGGAAAAAACCCCGGGGGGGGGAAAAATGTTTTGAAAATTAAATTTGGGGTTACCCCTTTTTAAAATTTAATTTTAAAAAAAATTTTTTGGTTTTTAGCTATTGATTCCGGGGTTTTCTTCCTCGCCAAAAAAAACCCTTTAAACCCCAAAAATTTTGGGCCCCCTTTTATTAAAAATTTTTTACTTTACTTAGTAAATAGTTTAATTTCTTAAAAAGGGAAATTTTTCTAATAGTAACTTAAATATTCGGGGGGAAAAATTTAGAGTTCTTAGAAATCCCCGGATTGATTTAAGGGGGGAATTGAACTGCCCCCCCCAAACTCTACCAAAAAATTTCCTTTTAAGGGGGAAAACAAGGAAAGGAAAGGGTGTGGTTTTGAAAGGGGGGCGGAGGGGGGAGTAAAACAGTATGGTTTGAATTTCAAGGGGGTCCGGGGGCTTGGTTTGGTTTCTCCATCGGGGCCCCTAAACTTTTTTTGACGACCCATTGGGGGGTTGGGGGGGCCCAGGGGGGGAGTTTAATTTTATCTCCTTTTCCCGGGTTTTTGCTCTCAAAAATTTTAAAGGGCCAAAATTAAAGGGGGGCCCGGGGGGGTTTTTGTTCAAAAAAATTCTCTCGAAATTGGGGGGCCCTTTTTAGGGGTTGGGTTTTCCCCGGTTTTGGGAAAGGGGGTGATTTAACAAACCCCTTTTCTTTTTTTTGTCCCATTTTGGGAAAAAAAAATTTGGTTTTTCCTTAAAACCGAAAATTTTCGCCGGGGCAAGGTCAGCCCCTTTTTTTGTTTTTGGTAAATTTTGGGAAATTTCGCGAAACGGGTTTTTTAATCGGCAAATTCCGGAAAAAAACGGAAGGGCTAAAAAAACTATCCCTTCCCTACCAATTTTTTTAGCAATCCCCCTGAAACCCTTTGGGTTATGTTCTAGGGGCCCCTTTTTGGGGAAAAATCCCTTTTAAGGCCCAAAAAATTTTAGGATGGCCTTTTTAAAAAATTTTTTTTTTCAATTTTAAAAAAAACCCTTTTTTTACCCCGGGGAAAAAAAATTTAAAAAAAAAAGGGTTTTAAGAATTTTTTAAAAAATTTAAAAAATTTTTAAAGGGGGCCCTTTTTCAAAAAATTTTTGGGGTTTTAAAAAAATCTCCTTTTTCATTTGGGCCCCCGGGGGCATTTTTTTTTGGGGGAAAATTTTTAGGGGTTTATTGCTCAAAAAAAAATTTTGGGGAAAAAAAGTGTTTTTTGATGCTTTTTTTAGTTAAAACTTGGTTCCCTTTAGGGGGGCCCCAAAAATTCTAAATCTCAAAAATTCCTTTTTGGGGCCCCACTATTTAATTAAAAAAAGTTTGAAGGGGAAAGGGGGGCCCGCAGGAGGTATTTTTCCCGGGGGACTTTTTCCCTGGGCCCCCAAGGGGGTCCACAGATGCCCGGGGAAATTTGGGCCCCCCTCGTTTTTAGGAAATTTTCCCGGTCCAAGAGTTCAGTTTCTTTTATTATCCTTTTCCCCCCGAAAAAATGGGCACAAAACTGGGGTTTTCCCCTGGAAAACCCTTTGCAAAAATTTTTAGTGAGAAAAAATTTTCATCAAACAAACGGGGCTTTGTTAAAAAAGGGTTTTAAAAAATTTCCCAAAACCCCCTTTTTCGCTATTGGTTTTTTTTGAATTTAGAAGGGAAAAAGGGAAAAAAAGGCCAAACCCGTTTGAAAATTTAGGGGAAAAATTTTTTTCCAAAAAGGGGGTATACTTTTTTCGTGGAAAACCCAAAGGAAAGGGTGTTTCCAAAAATTTTAACCCCAAAAAGGGGGAAACTCCCATAGGGGGGGGGCGAATTTTGGGCCCTTTCCCCAAGGGGGGGGGCTTTTCAGCAGGGGGCCCCATGATTATAAACTAAGGGGGATAAGTTCAAATCGCCACTGGGAAAAAACCCTTCCCCTCCCTTGGGCCCAAAAAAAAAGAGGGGGTTAAAGGGAAAAACCTTGGGGGATGGGGGTCACCCCAAAATTGGGGTTGGTACCCTGTTTTCCGGGTTTTTTTTGAAAAAAAAGCAAGTATTTTAAAATTTGGGACCTTTAAAAAAATTTTTTCCTTTCTATTTTCCCACTTCATCTTGTCCCATCGAGTTCCTTGGGTTTTTTTCTTTTTTACCCCTTTTTTCGGGGGGAAAATTTGGGCCCCCCACTTCTTTTCCCAAAAACTGTTTCCCCCAAGGTTGGATTACCAACTTGCTTTTCCCCCTCCAGGGGGGAAACCCCCCTTCTAAAAATTTTCAGTAAAAAAAAGGGCCCCAAAAAAATGGGAAAAAAAAGGGGGCCCCGGGGCCAGGGGCAAAAAAAACCCAAGGGGGGAATTTTCCCTTGGGGTAAAAAACAAAAGGGACAAGGGGCCCCCCCAATTGGGGAAGGGCCCCTCAAAAAGGGGTGTCCCAAACCCTTTTCCTGGGGAGGTACAAAAGGGGTAATTTATTTTAATTTCCGGGGAAAAAGGGGCTCCAAAAAAAAAATTTGGGGTTGGGGGGGGACCCCCAAAGGAACCCCCCCACAGGTTTCCAACCCCCCTTTTCTCTTTGGGGAAAATTGGGGAAAACCCTTTTAAAGGGAAGGGCCCCCTTTGCAAAAAAAAAACGGGAACCTTTTACAAAAACTACTGAGAGAAGGGGGAACGTGGAAAATATGGGTTCCGGAAAAAAGGGGGGGGGGGGGGGGGGGGCCCCCCCCGGGGGAAGGGGTTTTGAAAAGGGGCCAAAAAACGCTTAGGTGGGAAAAACCACCAAAAAAAGGATTTTATTAGTGCCCAAGGGGGGGTTGGGGGGGGGGGGTGTGGGGGGGTGTTGCCTTTTAAAACAATTTTATCCCAAAGGGGTTTTCCCCCCAGGCCCCAAAAAACAGTGTGAATTTTACTTTCCCCTTTTAGGGTTTTTGGAAAAATTTTCTTTTAAAACCAAAAAACTCCCCCCTTTAATTTAGATTTTGGTTCCCCCTTTTTTTGAATTTTAAAATCAAGGGGTTTTTTCTTTTTTAAGAAAAAATTCCCGAACCCCCCAAAAAAAAAAATTGGGGTTTTTTTTGAACCGTTTTTTTGATTACATGGGGTTTCCCCCGATTAAAAATTAAAAAACCTTGGGAATTTTTTTTCCTTTTAAGGGCCGGGGAAAATTTTAAAAAATTCAAAGTAGAGGAAACCAAACTAAAGGGGGTAAAACCCAAATTTTCCCTGGGGACTTTTTTCATTTAAAAGGCTTGAAAACACATGGTTTTCCCCACCAAAAAAAAACACCCTCTTTTTGGGGGGGGGCACACCGGGGGGCCTTTTGTTTCTTAAAAAATTGGGAATCCCCCGGGGTTGGGCCACTTTTAAAAAAATCCCCCCCAAAGCTTGGGAAAATTTTGGGGGGGACCCCCGGGGGAAAAAAACGGGCAGATCACTTTTCCCGGTTTTAAGTTTTTTGAAACCCGGGGGATTTTTATGTGGGGCATCAAAGGGAG